ACAACAATGTTTATCCAAGTCCTATTTTACAATGACAAATTGGAAACAACCTAAATGTAAGAAGGGAATAGTTATATAAGCTATGATACATCCAATATTCAAATTTAGATTTATGTGGAATTTTTATTTTTTTAAAAGCCAGTCAAATTTAGCATATGTGGAATTTTTAATTGCATGAAAAACACTTCTGTTATTATTTTAAATGAAATAGCTATATATACATATATATATATACACACACACATACAGATATATAATGTGATACTAATCACCTAGGGATCTTGTGAAAATACAGATTCTGATTCAGTGGGACTAAAGTGATGCCTGAGGTTCCACATTTCTAATAGAAATGATTCCAATGCTGCTGGCCTACCGATCACTTTTTGAGCAGCAAAGATATATAGAATACAATCACACCTATGTAAGAAATGCATAGGAAAAAAAAATCTGACCAAAACTTCACCAAAGCATCAATGGTACTGAGCTGGGGCCATGAGTGAGGGATTTTTTTTAAAATGCTTATTTTACTAGAGTTTCCAAATTACCTATACTAGAAGAGTATTGCTTATATAGTGAGGTAAAATGAGATTAAAAATAATCTGCTTATGCATGTGCAGGTACAGGGGGTATATGGGAAATCTCTGTACTGTCCACTCAATTTTCAATTTTATGTGACCATAAAATTGATCTAAAAATAAAGTCTATTGAAAAACAATAATCTGCTTTAATTTTCTTATAAACAATATTGAAATTTAAACCAAGAACTTGCTGATGAGACCATTTGTATAGCCTGGTTAAGAATCAAGCCTATATATGTTTCATTCTTTTTTTCCACTTTCTTAACTATGCCTTGAACATAGGTTTCTGATCTTTGATTACCAAATACTTTTACAGTTTTAAGCAAAGAAAAAAACTTAATTCCAGCTTTCTCATCTCCTTGCATTTTGTCCCTTCCCCCAAGGACCCCATCTGCAACCATCTCCCAGCCCCAGTGGGGTAGAGTCAGGACAGGACTGGCCAAAGTTCTATATCACCTGTGATGTTTCCTTATATTCCCATACTAATGGGACTGCCTAATATTAGACAGGAGTGCCCTATTTTGGAGCCATAATTGGATTTACTTCTTTAACTAAAAGTAGCTGTTATTCTTGATCCAAACAAACAACAGAAACTTTTGTTTGCAAAGTTGTAGTAAGTAACAGCCAAGAGAGTTGGAAAGAGGCTGAGTGAGGTTCATTATACTAATTCTCTTGAGATCCCAAGCCCCATCAAACTAGAGAAACAAACAGATCCCTTAAGAAAACAAAGCTGCAACCCAAATCTTTCAGCCCTGATGTCACCTCCACAAAGAGATGTGTTTATTCCAGGGGCAGCTTACCCACTGTCTCCTAGTGCTCTGTTGTCCACAGAAGAAACAGCATCTCAGAGAGACTGGGCCCATGTGAGGATGAAATAAAAGTCTGTATCAGTCAGAACCGCCCCTGTAGGCCAAGAAGAAGATGAAGAAATACTACTCCAAATCTTAACTATAATTTTCCAAGGCTTTCTCCAGGATGAGCTGCTGAAAATGGAAGATTTTGAAACTCTCCAGACTCTTCAGACCCTTTGAGCTGAATGATGACAAAGGCCAAGGAAATCATTCTACTCTAAGTGACCCAGGGAACACATCTGCCCATTCAAGAAGGTTTGGAAAAGGACAGGTGTTCTTAGAGAACGCCACTAAATTTATGAGAGATGCAGATCTCACACCAACAGTATAAGACCTGCATTCAGAGCCCACAGGCAATACAGCAACCTCAAGAAACACTCATGGGAACCAGTTGTCTCCTGCAATCCTGCGAGAAGTGTATCTGGAATGACCTGATTGGGACTTTCTCAGAGGGCTGGTAGACACCTGACCCTGGACCTGCCAGGTAATCTCCACCTTGGCACCTCAGGGGATGGCAGGGCAGCAGTGGCTTCCTCAAACCTTCCTCTTACTGGCACTTGTTTTTATATTCCATTATAAGGTCTGGCACATCAACGACAGGCACTGGGTCTCATTTGTGACTTTAGCCCCACCATCCAGGTCAATGCAGGAACACAGTAGGTGCTAAGTCAACATTTATTCACTCAGAGCCATCACATGACCCGCTCTCACTGAGGAACTTTGCCTGGCCTGATTTGCACAACTTTGTTCCACCCTGTGCTCTGAGTAATTGCCCCATTGGAAAATGCAAAACTCTGGACAGCATGGAGTCTGGTGAAACTGCTAATACTTTTCCTTTGAGGGGGAAGATCTCACCCTCCTTTATGTGTCCTAGAACCATTCAGAAGAGCATGAGTTCCAGCCATGGCAGGACAAATCTCCAGGTCATGCATGCTTTCCCACTGGGCCCTACATGACTGACCCTTGACACAATGAGTGGCCTGAGGTGGACGCCACAGCCATGTCCAGCCTCTCAGGCTGCCAGGCAAGTCTCCCCCTCTACTCATCAAGCATGTAGGATTCATAACATGGCCCACTTCATTGTGTATCTGGAAGGCCCACAGCTAGTGACTTCTGGTTGGAAATTTAAACACACACACACACACACACACACACACACACACACACACACAAGTTTATCAGTGGCCCTGTCCAGGTGCTATCTCCTTGAGCTGGTCACAATGCCTTCCCCAGGTGTGTCTGTGCTAAGCTCATGACTCAGTGTGAACCTGGGACTTTTGCTTCCATCCCACTCACATCTAGCTCTTCATCGCCTTGGTCCCTGTTCCTGTTTTTCTCCCGTCATTGCCCACCCAGGACTTTGCCTCAGTAACACTCATCCTATCAGTTTCTAATGATGCTTCTGAGTAGTACATTCATGCTGGATGCTGCTTTTGTTCTGAAAAGACCCAGGTAAGTTTCTCAACCACCCAGGCTCACCTTTGAACCGAGTAATTAGGCTGCAAATAACTGTCAGCAAATGTTAGAGACAAGGGTAACAGTTTGTGGAATGACTCTGAATAGTGCAGCCTACGCTAAAAAAAAGGCAAAACCATAAAAAAGGAAAGTTTATAAAGTTTACCATTTCATCCTCCCTGCTAATAACACTTCATCCCTTGATACCTTCACCTCCCCTGGCACCTTCTTCCTCCCAGGTACCTAAACTGGTTCCAGTCTTCTCCAGTGACTGGCAAATACTTCTTAACTGATAACAAAGGTAGTAGTTGATAATGCCTAAGGGAGGATATTTCCAGGGATGCTGATTTTTTTTTTTTTTTTGAGACAGAGTCTCACTTTGTTGTCCAGGCTAGAGTGAGTGCCGTGGCGTCAGCTTAGCTCACAGCAACCTCAAACTCTTGGGCTTAAGCAATCCTTCTGCCTCAGCCTCCCGAGTAGCTGGGACTACAGGCATGGGCCACCATGCCTGGCTAATTTTTTCTATATATATTAGTTGGCCAATTAATTTCTTTCTATTTATAGTAGAGACAGGGTCTCGCTCTTGCTCAGGCTGGTTTCGAACTCCTGACCTCGAGCAATCCGCCCGCCTCGGCCTCCCAGAGAGCTAGGATTACAGGCGTGAGCCACCACGCCCGGCCGGGATGCTGATTTTTAAAGATAAATCTTTTTAACGGCTTTGGTTTTGAGGATTTTTGCTCCCGGCAGCTGGCCACTCTCTAGCAGACCCAAGACCTTTGTCTACTCACTCGAACTTCAGATCCTCCCAAACAAGGAGCATCTCCCTTTAGAGGATGGTTGTAGGGAGATGCCTCCACCTTCTTATGAGGAAAAGCAAACTCTCTTCAGAGGGAACAATTTAAAACCACTTGGCACGTTGACTCTGCAAGGTTGCTATCCCCTAGGAAATACTACACAAGTGACAAGTCCTCAACTTCTTGTATGTCAAACACCCACCAAATCCATCTCTCAGACATTTGAGGTGTTATTGATGCATTCAATAAATGTCTATTAATGCTGATTATTTCAAGAAACATGTTCTAAATGCTATAAAAAATACAAAGATTAATAAAGACATTTTTGACTCAATGACAAATGAAAAACAACTATAAAAATATAATCAAAATAAAACGAGATATAAAATTATGAGATATACAGAGAAAAGACTCATCCATTTAGAACAGAAGGCTTCATAGAAAAGGCAGCACTTACTGAGGAGAGATTTAAAGGATAAATAGCATTTGAAAGGCTGATGATTCCAAACTGCAAGAATACCGTGTGCAAACATACGGGTGTGTGAAAAAGAATGAAAATGTTGCAAAGAGATTGTTGTATCTAGAGCTCAGAGTTTGTGAGAGGATGTAATAAGGAGAACCTGGAAAAATCATTTGGGAACAGATCATTAAGAGTACTGAATATCAAATCCCCAGTAAGAAATTTTGAGTTATGCAGATATTACTTGGATTTTCTTTATTTGATTTGTGAGAATTGTATTTTTCTCTCATAGATTTCCTCTAACCTTCTTTATTAATCCAAATACTAGTGAAAGGTATCAAATATTCGAATAATCTTTTTTTTTTTTTTTAGTCAGAGTCTCGCTCTGTCACCTAGGCTACAGTGCCGTGGCGTCAGCCTAGCTCACAACAACCTCAAACTCCTGGGCTCAGGCAATCCTTCTGCCTCAGACTCTCGAGTAGCTGGGACTACAGGCATGCGCCATCACACCCAGCTAATTTATTTTCTATTTATAATAGAGATGGGGTCTCACTCTTGCTCAGGCTGGTTTCGAACTCCTGACCTCAAGCAAACCGCCCAACTTGGCCTCCCAGAGTGCTAGGATTACAGGTGTGAGCCACTGTGCCTGTCCCAAAGATTCAGATAATCTTGAAACAGCAACACCCTCAAATATAAACTACTTGTGGATAAAGACCCAATATTGGAGTAAGCATAAGAATAAAAGATATTAAAAGCAAGTTTTATTACTAGGGACAATGGAATCTATTGAGGAATAAGAAATAAAAGTTTTGGTTAAGAAAAGTAAGAAAGGCTAATTTTTGGTTCTGAGTCTCACTTAGGCCACCCTGCACACTACTCCTTTCTCCTCTAAACACACAGATACACCAGAGACCAAACAAAAAACAGACACCCCAGAGGCTCTGCAAACAAGCCTGAGTAGTCAGCAGTGGGGAGACATGTCCTCCACAGAAATAAAGGACTCCTTCAGCCCGAAATACAGCGCTCATCCCTCTTTCCTTTCAGCTTCAGGTTGTTCTCAGACCCCCAACATCACGACTCCTAAGCTGAACACCCTTGATGGGCTGTCCCCAGCAGAGGTCAGAGGAGCCATGGGGAACCGCACCACTGTCACCGAGTTTGTCCTGCTGGGGCTCTCAGACGCCTGTGAGCTGCAGATGCTCATCTTCCTGGGGCTCCTCCTGACCTACCTCCTCACACTGCTGGGGAACCTCCTCATCGTGGTCATCACCCTCATGGACAGGCGCCTCCACACCCCCATGTACTACTTCCTCCGCAACTTTGCTGTCCTGGAGATCTGGTTCACCTCGGCCATCTTCCCCAAGATGCTGACCAACATCCTCACAGGATACAAGACCATCTCCCTCCCAGGCTGCTTCCTACAATGTTTCCTCTATTTCTTCCTGGGCACCACAGAGTTCTTCCTACTGGCAGTGATGTCCTTTGACAGGTACATGGCCATATGTAACCCCTTGCGTTATGTCACCATCATGAGCAAGAGGGTCTGTGTCCAGCTGGTGCTCTGTTCATGGATGACAGGATTCCTTCTCATCATTGTTCTAAGCTTCATCACATTTCAGCAGCCTTTCTGTGGCCCCAATATCATCAATCATTTCTTCTGTGACAACTTTCCACTCCTGGAACTCATATGTGCAGACACAACTCTGATAGAGCTTCTGGGTTTTGTTGTAGCCAACTTCAGCTTACTGGGCACTCTGTCCGTGACAGCCACCTGCTATGGCCACATCCTTCACACCATCCTGTGCATCCCCTCACCCAAGGAGAGGCAGAAAGCCTTCTCAGCCTGCTCCTCCCACATCATCGTTGTGTCTCTCTTTTATGGCAGCTGCATCTTCATGTATGTAAGGTCAGGCAAGGGTGGCCAGGCGGAAGACAGGAACAAGGTGGTGGCTTTGCTCAACACCGTGGTGACCCCCATGCTCAACCCCTTCATCTACACCCTGAGGAACAAACAGGTGAAGCAGGTGTTTAGGGAGCAGGTGAGCAAGCTCCTCTCCTAAAGGTGGGCCAGGCCTGAGAGACAGGAAAAGTTGTCTCCTGTCCTGACCTCCACGGACTATCCCCTCATAGACAGTTTTTACCATGTTTTTTAATCTACAGTAGTTTCTTACTTGTATTATTATTTGTCCATTCTTGTCCAGAGAGTACAGAACACTTAGTGTAGCACTATTATGTGTGGTATTTCTTGGTGTTTCTAACCCTAGCCTGTATCTCAGTTCCTCAGTCCTGCCTCATTTTAAGATTATAATAATAAATTTCACATTCCTTCTTTGCTAGAACCTTTTAAAATTGGTATAATATATCCTCAACAAGAATATATTTATGATAAACTTCAGAAATATTTTATGTATGTAAAATTAATGAAGTGGAATAACCAAGAAATGGGAAACAAAAAGAAAACTATCAAATATTAAAGCACTTAAGTCAAGAACTAACAAATTGAATAGTGAGACTGAATAGACAGTCTGGCAAAATACTGCAGTACATATAAGTATCTAACAGATCATAAAAATAGAGTTTCTAATAATTAAGTAAAGAAGATCAGTCCAGCACTCATTCTAGCCTGGGCAACAAAGCGAGAGTCTGTCTCAAAAAAAAAAAAAAAAAAAAAGATCAGTCCAATACATAATGCCAAGACTGTTTGCTAACCACAGAAGACTAGTCCAAAAAGACTGGGACTAGTACTTGATTGGCTATTTTGGGGTGGGGGTAGGAGAGAGGTTAAAACAGAAGAACAATATAAAATTGATACATGCCTTAAATATTTATGTGTAATTAAAACCTATAAAGATATATTCATTCACTAATGTCCTTTTTGTGCTGTAGTCTTTTTCAGTTAAAGCACATTTATAATATAAGTTCTACAATTTTCAGGATTTGTTTTGGTAGTCTGAAAATTTTAAAGATGCTGGAGAAACTAAGCAAAATTCTAAGATTTTAACTCTTTGCCTGTTTGCCAGTCTACATAGTCTTCACTGACACCTAATCCAACACAGTTTTTTTCACTACCTTCCTTTATGTAATCTATGCAAAGGAATCAACTTAGTTTTCATAGAAACAAATTTCTTTTTATACTCATATTTCATCGATTTATCTTTGCTCAGCTAAAATACGTAATTACAATAACAAGTCCAATTATCAAAGAAAGATTTGAAAACAAACAACTGGTTCTTGGTATAAGTCCACTGGTAGAACAAAAGTATGCTTGTACAGAAGCCAACTAGCTGCAAAATTTCACATGCTGCGGACGCCAATCATTTCAGGAGGCAGTTTAGCACAGAGATTGAGGGCAGAGCTGCTGGAAGCATACTACCTGCATTCAAAGCCCCGCTCAGCTACCCATTGGCCTTTGATCTTGAGCAAACAAGACTTCTCTGTATGTCAGTCATGCATATGAAGATGACAATAGTGTCTACCTTACAGAATCCTTATGAACATTAAATGAGTTAATACTTGTTAGAATGGTGAGCACAGGGCTTGGTACAGAGTAAGTGTCACGTTAAGTGTAAGGTATTATATTTTAACGAAGGAATCAGTTAAACAAATGAAGGTAAATTAAGAGATTTGCTACTCTCTTAGGGAAAAATAAAGTTAAATTCTCACTTCATATCTTAAACTGAAATAAATTCAAAATGAGTTAAGTATTCCTGGTTTCCTGTGCCCTAAGGGAAAAAAATGAATTAAGTAGGCTGGGCGCTGTGGCTCACGCCTGTAATCCTAGCTCTTGGGAGGCCGAGGCGGGCGGATTGCTCAAGGTCAGAGTTCAAACAGCCTGAGCAAGAGCAGACCCCGTCTCTACTATAAATAGAAAGAAATTAATTGGCCAACTGATATATATAAAAAATTAGCCGGCATTGGTGGCGCATGCCTGTGTCCCAGCTACTCGGGGGAGGCTGAGGCAGGAGACGCTTGAGCCCAGGTTTGGAGTTGCTGTGAGCTAGGGCTAACGCCACGGCACTCACTTCTAGCCTGGACAACAAAGTGAGACTCTGTCTCAAAAAAAAAAAAAAAGAATGAATTAAGTAGATAAATATAAAACCTGAAAACATAAAAAAGAAGAAAATTTCAGAAAAAAAATCATCTTATTAAAGATGAAAGATGGTGTCCAGGTGCAGTGGCTCACACCTGTAATCCTAGCTCTCTGGAAGGTGGAGGGAGAGGGGAGGATAGCTGGAGCTCAGGGGTTCAACACCAGCCTAAGCACAGTAAGACCCCATCTCTACAAAACAGAAACAAGAAAACCAAAAATAAAAAAAAAATACAGAAAACCCAGTCGGGCATGTGGCACACTCCTTTAGTCCCAGCTACCAGGGAGGCTGAGGCAGAAAGATCACTCACAGCCCAGGAGTTGGAGCTTGCAGTGAGCTACAATCACATTATTACACTCTACCCAGGGACACCAAGTGACACTCTGTCTCAACAACAACAAAAAAAAAACACAAGAAAAAAAGTTAAAAAATAAAGATGGAAGATAGTAAAAAGGAATTTGATGAAATAAATTTTTTAAAAGATTAAAGAAATATAAAAATAAATTTATAAATTTGGCTATGTGAAGTTTTTGCATTTTTTTAAGTCAGAAAAAAAACCCAAATAATGTAACAGTTACATGTAGTTTCTACCTGTCTGGCATCCATTCTTCAATCTTAACACAAAAGGACCCTGATTTTTCTCAGGAAATTCTCTCCTCTCTCTGTCCCCATAGCTAGGGTGCCGCTGACTTCATCTTCAAGCAATCAGAGCATGGCCATGGTTACTGGTTTAGGGATGCCATTTGACTGAAATCACACCAGTGAGACCAAATGAGTGTCAATTCAGAGATATTTATGGGAATTGATGGAAGAGAGGCACTCTCTCTACAAGACTTGAAGCTAGGAGAATATAAGCCTAAGAAAAGTATCAACCACTTTCCAGATCCCTCTATGCAGCTAATAAAACCTTGATGCCAAAACTGAAAAGGATGTCATAATAAAGAAAAATTACAAACCAATCCTTCCCACAAAAATGCAAAAATCCTAAACATCAGCAAACTGAATGAAATGATACATAAGAAAAATAATACACCAAGACCAAGTAGAACTTATTCCAAGAATGCAAGGCTGGTTTAATATTTGAAAATTTATCAATATAAATCACCACTTCAACGGAATAAAAATAATCATATGACCATCTTAAGAACTTGGTATTGAGAAAGGAAGAAATAATGCCATAATTATCACCACTGATATTAATAAGTTCAATTGATATAATTTCAGCCCACAAGAAAATTATTTTATAGCCCAGCAATAATTAGAAAATTTAAATGTTTAATGATATGATTTTTAATAGCATCAAAAAATACCAAATACCTAGAATAAATCTAACAAAAGATGTACAAGTCTTTTACTCAAGAACTACAAAACTGGCCGGGCGCGGTGGCTCACGCCTATAATCCTAGCACTTGGGCCGAGGGCCGAGGCAGAGCTGAGCTTGCTCAAGGTCAGGAGGGTTCGGAAACCAGCCTGAGCAAGAACTCCGCGTCTCTCAAAAATAGGATAAGAAATTAAATGGGCCAACTAAAAATAGTTATATAGAAATAATTTGAGCCGGGATGGTGCACATGCCTGTAGTGTCCCAGCTACTCGGGGAGCTGACGGCAGAAGGATTGCTGAGCCCAGGAGATTGAGGTTGCTGGTGAGCTAGGTTGACGCCACGGAGCACTCACTCGTATCCTGGGCAACAAGAAGTGGAGACTCATGTCTCAAAAAAAAAAAAAAAAAAAAAAGAACTTTACAGAAAGCATTAAGAAAAATAAAAGATATTCTAAAATAAATGAGAGTGATATTCCATATTTGTATGGAGTCAGAAGACTTCTATATATTATCTCTCTAAATTAATCTATTATGTCCGCTCATAATAATACCAGGAACCCATAATCCAGAGAGGTGGTTTGTACGGAAACTGAGACATACTACCGCTCTAGAAAAATGTTATATGAAAAGTGCAATGGGCAATAATAGCGCATGACCACCGAACCAATTACAAAGTTGGGAGACTGGTGATATGTATCAGGATATCGAATTATATAAAGCTACAATAATTGAAGGTAGTGCAGTATTGCTGCAAGGATGAAGTGAGATATACTCATCAAGTGGCAATAGAATAGGTTGAGGTCACAAGAAATAAACCTACATATACATGAAATATTTTATTTAGGACAGTATTTCAATAAATGATGCCTTGCATGGTCAACTGGTGGAACTAATAAATTTGTTTGTATATATATTATTTATATGTGTTACCTCGTATATGTCTTACCTCTATTCTCTAAGTTTCACCTTCTGAGGAGTAGTATCTATCCTTTTTTTTTTTTTGTATTTTATATAATGTGTAGAATAACTTATATATATTGTTCATTCTATTGTATGGTATATATGTTATTTTAAACATATTCTTTATTACTTTATGGTGTATGTAAAACATTTTTTTTGTATTGACAGTTAGTCCTCGCTGTGTCTTATGTGGTTAGTATTTGTGAGTGGACATCTTTTTTTTTTTTTTTTGAGACAGTATTGTTCACTGTTTGCCATGGACTAGAGTGTTATGTGCCGGTGGGTCGGTCAGCTCATGGTCTCACATGCTAACTCAATATTCTCCCGAGGCTCAGCAATTCCTTCTGCCTCAGCCTCTGTAGTATGTCTGTGTATCTTATCCATGGTCTTATGATCTAGTCCTTCGTCATCATAGATTTAAAAATTATGTTTGTGTCAATTAATTTTATTTTATTTTTGGTAGTGATTCGGTGGTTCTGCGCTCAGTGCTGTGATATTATCCTGACTTGAGTCTATATTCTCGTGTTCTTCCTGCCTCGTTCTCTCCAAATTGGCTAGTGTTATATCTATGCTATGGCCATCCGTACGCTCCGGCCCACTTTTTATATATTTACTAAAGCTAAGGAAATAGGAGATAATGATTTATATATTATCTATAATGATATCACCTGTAAATACCATAGATATAGTGT